TGCAGCCCAGCCTGCTGTTCTCTCTGGACCCGATGCTGTCCCCCTGTCCCATTCTCCCGGGCCCTGCATGCTGAAACCAGGTGGCTGCCCTCTGCTTCTGGCCCCAAAAAGCAAGCTCCATGCACAACCGCCCTGTTCACGGCCCTGCCCTGGGCGCCCACCCACCACGCCCACCCACCACGCCCACCCATGTCCCCACTCACTTCCCTCCTCCGAGGGCCTCAGTGTGGAGCCTGTTGCTGTGGTTCTAAAGTGACCCCAAAGCTCACGTGTTGGAAACTTAATCCCCAGTGCACCATGCTGGGGTGGGGGCACTTTAAGAGACGATCAGGTCCTGAATGGATTAACGCTATTATTTTGGGAATGACTTTGATAGAAGAGTGAGATCAGCCCTCTCCTCCAATTTCATCCATGGGCTGATGCAGCAAGAAGGCCCTGCTGGACATGAGCCTTGGACCCTGAGCTTCTTAGCATTCCAGAACTATAAGAAATAAATCTCTGGGCTGGGAACGGTGGTGCAAGCCTGTAATCCCGGGCACTCTGCGAGGCTGAGGCAAGAGGATCATAAGTTTGAGCCCAACCTGGGCAACATAGAGACTTAGCAAGCTTCTGTTTCAAATTTTTTTAAAAAAGGAAGAGGCTAAAAATCTGGGGATGTAGCGTATACAAAGGCCCGGGGTTCAATCCTCAGTATTATTTTTTTTTTAAATAATCTCTGATCTTCATAAATTACTCTGTCTCAGGTATCCTGTTATAGCAGCACAAAATGGCCTGAGACAGAAAATCAAGTGATAGCGTGTTCACAAGAAGCAGGGCCGTTGCTATAGCAAATATCTGAAAATGGAGAAGTGGCCTGGGAGGTGGTTTGCGGTACGGGCTGGAAGGATTTGCACAAGCAGGCTGGAAGATCTCTGGATGCCTGTGAGTAGAGCCGTCTGGTGAGAGCTCAGAAGAAGCCAAGGGCTGTAGGGAGATCCGAAATATTCTTAGGAATCACTGAAATGGTCATAACACGTGGACAGTAACAGCCATTCTGGAGAAACTTCAGGTGAAAAGAGGAACAAGGTTCTGGAGGCTGACACAAAGGCATCCTTGTTATACAGCTGCGAGCACGTGGTACAACTGTATCCCTGTCCTGGGACCTCATGAAGGCAGAACCCAGCAGTGACAAAAGGAGATGCCTGGCAGGAGAAATCTGAAGGCAGTGAAAGTTCGGAAGACCGATGCGGCTACTTTCCGTGACATACAGCAAGATGCCAGAGGAAAGAAACAATTTGAAGGTAGAATGTATAATTGCAAAGGAAGCAGCATGGAAGGATCTGGAAAACTCTCAGTCGGGTTGTGTAAAGAATTAAAAAAGCATATCGGAGAGAAAAAGATTAAAGATGTGGCCTAGTAACGCTCATTGTTAAAAGAGATGAGGGTTTGATTTGTTTGGAATGGGAGAATGACCTTGAAGATATTTCCGAGGCCTCAGAGGCAAGCTAGGACTTGGAGCAAGGGCTCCAGAGGAGCCCACGGCCCTCAACATCTGTAGCCCAGGGCACCTCTGGCCTCCTGCAATCTGATTCAGGGCTCCCGGGCCACCCTGGGCTATCACAGCAGAAGCCCAGGCAGGCCCGGGTGCAGCTGGTATCACAGCGCTGGGGGCGTCCATGCAGTGCTGGCTCTGAAGACACGCAAGGCACACAGGCCTTGGGCCTGGTGGCCTCTGCCTAGATTTAGAAGGGTGCTGCGGGGGCGGCCAAGACAGAAGTCTAATTATGGACACAAGGCCGCCTGAAGTCCTAGGCTTCCGACCTTCGCCCCTCCATTCCCAGGAGGCAGAACATGGAGTGAAAGCTGATTTGGGAGTTTAGTTTGCCTTTTGTACCCTGCTGGGCTTTGGGCTTTCTTGGGGACTCCTTCATTATGGCCCACTCCCTCCTTCAGGGGTGAGAATGTCTACCTCATGCTCGTTTCATCGCTAAACTTGGGAGGGAGACGCTGGGTGTTAATTTCAGAGTGACTCGCCCTTGAGTTTTAGATGAGACTGCAGACCTTGGACTCTTGAGTTGGTCCTGAAATAAGGTAAGACTTTGGGGCTCGTAGGATGGAAATGTGTTTTGCACGTGAGAAGGAGGTGAACGTGGGGGTACAGCGTGCTGTGGTTTGGCTGTGTCCCCCCTGTGGCAGTGTGGAGCGGTGGCGTGCTGGTGAGTGCAACGTGGTAGAGTTGACACAGGGACAGTTGGGTATAAAAGGCAGTGTGGGCCTCTCCCATATTCCCTCTCACACAGTGCTCGCTTGCCCTCTGCCCTCTGACCTTGGCAGAAAGGTCATCCCAGATGTGGCCCTTCAAGCTCGGCCTTCCCAGCATCCCATGCTACAAGAAAGAAATCTCTTTATGGTTTACCCAGCCCCAGCTATCCTGTCACAGCGGCCTAAGTCCTTCTAAGGCACTGTTATACTCTGTTCTGACACCTGAGTCCTGCGTATGAGCGGTCCACCTAGCTGCCTGTCACCACGCCCGGCCAGGCCAGGACCCAGATGGCCCAACCCCGTGTCAGCAGCACCCCACGTCATTATTTCACCAGAAGGAAATAATCCAGTATGCAGATGTTTCAGGAATCAGCCCCAGGCTGCTGTCCACTTCTTGCCCGCCCGCCCCCATGTGTCTCCCTGCGGACCAAGGCGTGTGCAGCTCCTCGGGGCCCGTTCGCTGCTCAGCACCGAGCCCTCTCAACCGCGTGGCAGCCCAGAGGCCAAACTTGCCACACACAACCCGGATGGCCCTGTAACCCCAGCATTCTCAGAGGCTGAGGCAGGACTGTAAATTCAACCCAGCCTGGGCAATCTATCACTTGAGTGAGACTGTCTCAAAATAAATGAATAGGGCTGTGGATGGAATTCGGTATGAAGGCCTGTGTTCAATCCCCGGCACTACAAAAGGAAAAAAGAAAAACCTTGACACACACCACCCAGGCTGTGAGCCCAGGGAAGCACTGACGCCATCTTCTGTGACAGACTCTGTTATTCTTTTATAGACAAACAGGCCACTCTAGTACTCACCTGGCCTCCAGGCCAGCAGCAGGGGCCGCAGGGAGAATAAATGGTCTCAAAAATATCTCCTCAGATGTCACTGCTTGCTGTAGGGAGAACGGTCCCTGTGGGCAAAAATCTCCAGCCCTGCCCCGTCCTGCCGGGCCATCAGGGAGCCGTGCTCTGACCCTGGCCAGTGTTCGGTGGCGGGTTGGGAGCCTCTTTGTTATTCCTGGCCCTCAGCACCGGGACGCTCAGGGTGCCCGTGCCAGGGTGGCCTGCATGGCCAAGAGCAGGTGTTTCCCGCTGTGCCCTCTCTGGGCTCTGAAGACCCCACCCTGTGGGTGGAGGAAGAGGTGGTGTTGAGCCAGGGGCCCCAGCGTTTGAGCCGCCTGGCTCTGAACTTTCCACTTGTTTTCCTTGGCAAAGGGCCCCCGCTGGCATGGCAGGGTTCTGGGCTCTCAGGGGCGCCCGCGCTGGCTGTTTCCCAGCTGCCCCGAAGTTTGCTCAGCCCAGCGCACGGGTATTAAATGCCCACTGCGCTCGTTGGCTCACTTGGGAAGCTGTGTTGAGCACTTAGTAGGTGCTGGGTGCTCTGGCACAAGCTGGGGAGAACAGCCTTGAGCAAAGATGTCAGCGTGGGAAGCGGTCAAAGTGGAGTTAGAAACGCAAGACACCTGGAGGGAATGCTTAAGGACTAGGAGGAGGCAGGAGTGGTCAGCGAGAGCGAGACTGAGCCTGCCGAGAGGACGGCTGGGGAGGAGCCGACGTGGGGTGCTGCCCTGAGAAAGCGGGGCCCCTGGGGGGTGTCCCGAGCAGCTTACCCACGGTGGAGTCCCCTGTTGGGCAGGATGATTCAAACACAGGGGTGGATCTGGAGGCAGCTGGAGGCTGGCAGCTGACCAACCGCACTTCCTGTGGAAGGGCGATCTGAGCCCTCCTGGAAGCCCCGGCAAGACGGAATGCAGCGGAGAGCCTGCTGGGGACCCAGGGGACAGACCACACACCCGGCAGCCGCAGCACCTCCCTCCGAACTCACAGCAATGGCGCCTGAAGGGAGGGATCGCCCTTCTTCCCGCCGTCCTTGACCCTGCTTCTGGAGACTTACGTGTTGGTGACCCCTTCTCCCGTATGGATTAGAGCGACGTCCGAGCGGTAGCAGAGGCCGTGGTCCCTGAGTGGCAGGTGGAGCAGAAGGACCACAGCAGCCCTGCGCTGCCACCCCCAGACTGTGTGCAGAGACTCAAGCCCTGCTCTTGTTCAAGCGGCTTTCTGGGTGCTGAGCATGAGGCTTTTGCTCTTTTGGCCCCACGGAACTGACCCTCTTAGCCGTTTCTGAGTGTTGGTTCATTTCACATTACTGTGTCACCTTCACAGCCGTCTGTCTCCAGAACCTTCTCATCATCCGGTGGAAATTCTGCACAGTAGTTATTAAACCACATCTCCCCCAATCCCTGGTGTCCACATCCTACCTTCTGGCTCTATGTATTTGACGCCTGCAGGGACCTCACAGAAGTGGAATCATGCAGTTTTTGTCTTCAGGGGGCTTGTTTTACATAACAAAGTCTCCAAGTTTCATCCATGTGGTAGCATGTATTATAATGTCCTCCTTTTTTTGAAATAGGGTCTTGCTATGTAGCCTAGGCTGGCCTTGAACTCACAGCAACCCTCCTGCCTCAGCCTCCCAAATTCTGGGATTACAGGCATGCACCTCCACACATGGCAGAATCTCCTTCTTTTTAAGCCTGAGTAATACTCTGTTGTACAGATGGACCACACTGTGAGTCATTTCCACCTTTTGGGGATCACCAGTAAATGAACACGGGTGTAAAAGGTCTCATTAAAACTCTGTTTTTAGGGCTGGGGGTTTAGCTCAGTGGCACAGCGCCTGCCTGGCAAGTGCAAGCTCGTGAGTTCGATTCCCAGTATCGGAAAAAACAAAAATAAACAAAACAAAACTCTGCTTTTAACTCTTTCAGATCCATAACCAGAAGTGGCGTTGCTAGACTGCACGGTAATTCTAACGCAATGAGTTATTAACTAGTTCTTAACGGTGGTGTCTGGACCGGATGCTAGAAGATTACATTGAAAAGATGACGGAGAAGTACTTAGACAGCGACACCACTAGGCCCGCGGAGAAGGTAGTAGCTGCGACTGGATCCTCAGCGTCTCCGGGGGACCGTGTGCTGCAGGCCTGTTCCTCAGACCGCTGCTGTCAGGAGGTGGGGAGCTTCAGGGAGTGTGTCCAGTGGGAGGTCTCAGGGCACTGGGGTGTGCAGGGAGGACACAGCAGGACCCTGGCCTCTCCCCTCTCTCCTTCACTTCCCAGCCGTGGGGCGAGTGGTGTTGCTCCCCACCAGCTCCGTGACGCGCTGCCGCACCCCCATTCATGGACCTCAAGCCTCCAAAACTGTGAGCCCGAGTAAACCTTCCTCTTCACTGGCTCATAATCCTGTGCGTTGTAGTCACAGAACGACTGACGGGGAGTCAGGGAATCAGCTCACCCCTCCACTCACCAGCGGGCGCAGGCCCCCTCCCTGCCCCAGCCCTTAGGTCCACCCCACGTTGCCCCAGCTGTGCTGCTGTCTGCCTACCCCAGGCTGCGGAGAAGGAGGGAGTCCTCTCTTCAGCCAGGACGGCTGCTCGGTACCCGCAGACGTCCCCTCACACCCAGCCAGCGGGACACCTTCCGCTTCCCGGCTTTCGGCACCTTTGGCCTGAGCCGGGTGAACGCACCCTTTGCGGGTTGTTTGTGGGGCTGTCGTGTGAAGAGGACCACCCGTGGCTTTTGGTTCCCTTCTGGATTTTTTGTGCTGCCTTGTTTTGTGTGTGCTGTCTGGTGAGGGCAGCCGGGGCCTCAGGCGTGCGGGGCAGGCCCTCCACCACCGAGCTGCCCTCCAACGCCTCTCTTAACTTTGGAACATAAGCCCCCAGCGGTACAGGTAGGCCTTTTCAGAAGGACTCCTGACCTTCTTCCTAAATTCAAGCTTTATCGCTCAAAAGAAGACCCCCTCAGCAGAAGCCACTCTGTTCTCCCAGGGCCGGGCTGTCACCCACCTCACTTTCCAGTTGCCTTACCCTGGCTCACGCTGGCTTCTCTCCCAGAAATCACCAGCTCCAGCTATGTGGCATCTTCAGACCTGGTGGGTCCACCAAGGGCGCCTGCTCTGTGGATGTGCCTGGGTCGGCCCAGCGCGGAGGAACCCACGCCCTCGCTGTCACACCTCCCACAGGCTGCCTTCTGCCGCCTGCAGCTCGCTCGCGGGACCGAGGCCTGGGCACGGCCTGTGGATGTGTCAGAAATAGAAACTCCAAGCCCCGGGCCCAGGGCCTCTGATTCAGAAACTGGGGATCAGCCAGCAATCGGTTTTACTGGCATAGACAGTTCTAGGTCTACCAACCTACCCAGAGGACTGTGTGAGTTAATGCCCCACAGCACCCAGGAAGCCCCCAGAGTCAGCAGTGGGGGTTTGAACAGCTCCCCCTTCCCACGCCATAGGTATTTCTTCCTTTTTCCTTTCAATCTTTAAAAATTTAAAAATTTTTAAAAATTGAGATGGAGTCTAACTCTATTGCCTCCTCTAGCCTGGAACCCCTGGATTCAAGTGACCCTCCTGCATCAGCCTCCTGAGTAGCTGGCACGAGAGGCCCGAGACACCATCCCCAGCTTCTTTTCTTTTTTAAATTTACAGCAAAGTGCACCCACTGCTGTGTGGCTCAGCGTCTCTTCCCTGATGTGTGCGCCGTGTAGTCACACCCCAGTCAAAGACGCAGAACACTTCCACACCCTAGAAAGCCCCCTATGTCTCCAGGCTTTTCCCCCAGAAAGTGTCTCCTCCCAGTGAACACAAGCCTGCCCCCCGCCTGTGCCCCAAAGCAACCGTGACCCTGACCTCCTTCTCCACCTTCCCCTGAATTCAAACTTCATGTAGACAGAATCATGCAGTGTGTACCCTCTTTGAAAGCCGTCAACTTTATTGCATGTAAGAATCATTTGATCTTTTTCTTCGTTGTGTAGTATTCTGTGGTGTGAATATACTACAATTTATCAAGTTTGCTATTGAAGAACACTTGTTAGTTTCCAGTTTTTATAGAGTGCTATCAACTGAGCCAGGCAGAGTGGCACATGCCTGTAATCCCAGCACTCTGGGAGGCTGAGGCAGGAAGATTGCAAGTCCAAGCCTAGCCTGGGCACTTAGTAAGACCCTTTCTCATGCTCTCTCAGTGCAGCTTCTAAGCTCTCTAAAGGCAAGGGGTGTTTTCCCAATCACTGTGGCTGGGCGTGCAGGCAGCTCCTGTGGGCACTGATTTGGAACTTGCGTCTCCAATGGGGCAGAACCGGCCCAGCTGAGGGAGCTGCTCTTCCAGTTCTGCTAGGGGTTGGTCAGTCACGTCTGCTGGAACAAAGCCAGGCCAGAGCTCTGGGCTCCATGAATCAGAAGATATACACCGGGCCTGTGCTGCCTGCCAGGAATCCCAGCACTCCAGAGGCCGAGGCAGGAGGATCAGTGCGAGTTCAAGGCCAGCCTGGACTACATAATGAGTTCAAGGCCAGCCTCAATTACAGGCCAGGACCCTGTCCCAAAAAACCTAAAAAAAAAAGAGAAAAGAAGAAGGAG